GTGTTTGCCCATTGCTTGAGGCTCCCGGAGTTCAGTTTGGCCTCTCGGATCAGCACAGACCACAGACGCTTACTGACCCTACGCTCCAAGCCTGCGGGGACCACCCCCTACCCCCTGGCTCTCCCCAGGGGTGTTTGCGAGCACAGCCGGCAGCTCCGGCCGGAAACAGCCAAGCGGGGGAAGAGCTGCTTGTGGGGCCCCAGGAAACCTGGGTGTGTCGGGGCCCTCGGACTGGGGCCTCCACCTCCCGAGGGGTCCAGCTGGACAGATAATGGAGGAAACCACAGTGGCTCCTGTCCTTGGGGTTTGGAGAGCCGTGCCCTGGTGGTGACACCCAGGCTTCTGTCCGCGGCCAGGACGGCTCCCGCAGACACTCTGGGTCTGCCGGGATGGCTGCACACGGCCCTGCCCACCAGTTCAGAGACTGTAAACCACACTTGGAAGGTTTTGTTCCTTGAATTTCCGAGTTTAGTTTTTGCTGCGGCTTCCTTCCAGTCTCCTGCCTATTCTTTTGCTCACGTCGCGAAGGGCAGAAGTGGTGTGAACAGGAAGTGGTGTGGACAGAAGGTGTACAAGTTCCCCGTCCGAAAGCTTTGTGGGAAAGCCTGTTTCTGGCAGTTGTTCTGGGAGTTTGGTTCTCGCCTTCAGCCCTGAGAAGTAGGTGTCGAGTTATAGTTAGAACGCGGATAAACTGGCCTCGTGCAGAAAAACCGCGTGTGATCCCGGCGCCGCTGCCCTGCAGGATTCCCCGGTTCCTCTGAGCTTATTTTTAGTGCAAATGTTCTGTGACTAATGTTCTACCTGAAAGTAAACTTACTGCTGGGGTTTTTCCTCATCTTTCTCTCCTGCTTTTTTTTTTTGTTTTCAGTTATCCCCAAGCTAAACTGTGTGTTCACTGTGGAAATCGACGACTTCGTTTCCTACATTTATGGGAGCAAATTCCAGCTTCGATCCAGTGAGCGGTCTGCGAAGAAGTTCAAGGCAAAGGGAACGGTCGACCTGTGACCTCTTTGCCCCCTCGCTTGTGACAGCTGAAAACCGGAAACTCCCCAAATGCCCACCTTGCAGTGGAGAGACAGTCACGCCAGTTCTGGTTATAGAACCCGAGCGGGTGACAGTCAGAGCTGAGGACATCGACCAACACAGAAGATGCCCGGTGCGCTGAGCACAGAAGGCGGGGAACGGGGATTTGCACGTCTGGGTGAGCTCAGCTGCACGTCACTCCCGTGGAGCGAGGAGCGTGGCCGGACACGCCAGGCTCGACACTGGGTGGCTGGAATAGCAGGATTATTAGGTTACCTCTTTTTCATACGTGTCTGTGTTTCTGAACGTTCTATGATGGATCAGTTGTAACTACTAATAAAAACACCTGGGCACCAACAGGCTTCAAATAAAGGAAGTTTTCCTGCAGCTCAGCCAGGTCGAAAGGGAGGGGATCCCAGAGTCGCACCTGCCGGCAGGTGTTTCCGAGACGTAAAGTAGAAAACACAGTCCAGACACAGCTGTGGGTGCACCCTTCGACCTAAGCGAGGTTTACTTTCTGTTTCAGGGAAGTCGAAGGGAACTCAGTGGTGACGTTGCCAAGTGACTGAGGCCTCATTCGGTTCAGAAGGTACAGCTGGGGGGGCCAGGTCCGGCTGTGCCTGTTAATGGCCGACAGCACCATCCTCGTTCCTGAGCCCATCAGGCTCCAGGGGAGGGAGGGAGGAGGGAGGAAGGGAGGAGAAAGGAAGGAAGGAAGGAGGGAGGGAGGAAGGAAGGAGAAAGCAAGGAAGGAAGGAAGCCCACAGCTCTCCCAGGTCGGACGCGCGAGTCCTCTGCTGCGAGGGTGTGTCCACGCGGCAGGACGCTCTGCCCCCTTTAGCGCAGTCATCGCTGTGGGGCGGAGCCTGCGTGGGCCAGGGAGACGGAGCTCCAGTCCCGGTGCCAGCTGGACAGGTCGCCCAGCCCAGTGACGGGCCCTGTGCTGTGGCCGTCCTCACTGTGCCACAAGGAGACACACTCAAAGGGATCGCTGGCCCAAGGCCTCGCCGACTGCGGGGTACGGTGGGGGCTTGGAGCCCGTAGTCTGGCTCCCGGCCAAACTTTAAGCCGCAGGATGGGAAAGAGTCTTGCCAAGGACCCGGCGTGGTCCCTGGATTCCCTGGCGTCCCGCTACGGAAATCTCTGTCGTTGGGGTATGAGTAGCTTCTCTTCTTCCAACCGTCTGAAAGTGCCACTTTTGCAACAGCCTAGGTGCTCAGACTCCCTGAACCACCCTGCTCTTACCCACCCGCTGCAATGTGAGAGGCGTCCAGTGTTGTGCAAATACGCCGTTGCTTCCAGAAAAGTTGTTGGTACTGCTTGCCATGAGAATCTGTTTTCCGTTTGGCGCAGACTCAAGTGTCTGTGCGCGTGGCTGTTTCATCTGCAGACTCTCTCTTGTTCTCCCTGAGGAGACTCGGCGAGAAACGCTCACCTGCCACGACGCCGCCGCCGCGCTTACCTGTTCCCAGGGCGTGCTGTTGCCCCGCGGCCCACCCAGGGCCCACTGGGTCCCGTGCCCAGGACCACACCATCCTGCCAGGCAGAGGAGGGCCAGGCCCTGTTCTGACAAAGCTGAACCGATTTGCACAGATGCGGCCTGAGGCCCCAGGGTGTGGGTCGGGGACGGCCCTGTCCCCAGGGCTGCAGCACCGGGCTCGTCACGGGGGCTAATGTGGCACTTTGCAGTCCAGTATTTCTGACCTCTGCTGCCCAAGGAGCAGAACCCTCACAGAGCTGAGGCCTCGGACGTAAAGGCCCACGTGAGACGTAACTCAGTCTGCCTCGATGGAACCTCATGCCCTAGAGAAACCTGTGCCCCAGAGAAGGGGCCACGGAGGCCCCTGGAGAGAGTGGTCACAGCTCGGGACGGGACAGGGAGGCTGCGGGGCCAGGAAGCCTCAGCCCAGGGACCCCCTGTTCCCCAGAGAGTGAGCAGGCCCTGGGGCCCCTTCCCAGTTCCCCGGGGCCACTGTGGCCTGGAGGGGAAAGTGCGGGCAGTGTGGGCCACGGCTGTTGGATCAGTCTGCTCGGACCACCGTAGCAAACTGCCACAGACCGGGGGCTCCAGCAGGTTTATTCTCTCCGGTTCTGGAGGCTGGAAGGCCAAGATCAGGTGCTGTCAGGGCTGGTTTCTGGCGAGGGCTCTGTTTCTGGCTGTAGATGGCCACCCTCTTGCTGTGTCCTCGTAGCAGCCTTTCCTCTCTGCGCACAGAAGAGACATCTCTGATGTTTCTTCCTCTTGCAAGGGCACCAACCCTGTTGGATTAGGCCCCGCCCTTACGACCTTTTTTAACCTCCTTGAACACCCTGTCTCCAAATGCAGTCACACTGGGGGTTGGGGCTTCAACATAGGAATGGGGGCAGGGGGCACAATCGGTGCGTAAGAGCCTTGGAGCTTTGCTAACCATGACAGGCTGGTCGTGGCTTCTGGGAAGGCCGCGATGCCCAGCCTGGCCCCGTCCCCTCCCAGGGAGCGCTGGGACCACCGGCCGGTTCAACCGCCAATTGCTGGCCCCCGAGCTCCCGTGACCTTGGGATTCCACAGCTCGCTCATGCGGGGTGTAGATCCAGGGCTGCTGCCTCAGTGGGTCCCCTGCATTTTTGCGAACAGCCGGGGCCAGGCACAGCCCAGCTGGGGGAGGAAGCGTGCCCGCTCGCGGTCAGGGCAGGCGTTGAAGCCTCCCTGGGCGAGGGGCTCCGGATCTGGGCAGCTGTGGGACGTGAAGAGTGTGTCACGCCAAGGCCCAGGGCAGGGGCCTGCGGAGCCGTCACGGAGGAACCGGGAACCGGAGCAGAGCTGAGTCTTCCCGCCGGGCTGGGGCCAGGCAGGAAGCGAGGTGGGAAGGGGCGTGAGGCCGCCGGTCCCTCCCACAGGAGATGTCTGAGGTCCTGCCCAGCTTAGTGGGAGGGGAGAGGAGGCAGCAATTGCCAGAGAAGTCCTGATCCACGCACGGGGCAGGTCGTGGAACTCTGCTGTCTAGTCCCCCAGCCCTGAAGTCTTGGGGGCCTTGGTGTCACCATCTGTCAAGTGGGGCCATTGGGCTAGAACAGGCTTTCCTGGAATGGGATGCCGGAACTTTCTGCATCGGAATCAGCCCCGTGAGTGTTCAAAGCAACCGGACCCTGGGCTGCACCTCAAACCCACAGAATCAGACTCCAGGGTGGGACCCAGAAAGCCGCATGTTTATCGAAGCTGGTCACCGATGTCTTAGGACGGTGGACTCAGATGGTGTCTAAAGTCTCTGCAGCTCTGACGTCTGGGCTGAGATCTAAGATTTGGGGCTCCCAGGCTGGCATTTTCTGGATGCTGGAAAGATCTTCCAATGACTGATCTCTCGGGTTCTGAAGAGTAAACATGAACATGCCTCCAAAAACCCATAAATTACGGTAAAAAGCTGTCTTTCTGGACAACGGCTTTCGCTTTAATTTAGTTTGCATTTCTTGGCCATAACGCCTAATTAGGACATCTGTTAAATGTCTATAATATTAATTTAATAGAGGGGGTTCTAATAGAACCGTATTGGATTTGTCCATTTAATTAACCTCATGGGCCCTTAATGGATGTCTTAAATAGACATCATTAACGAGAGCGCTAGACAAATTAAAATCAGAGTCAATAACGTTCTCGGTGATTTCTCCCGAGCTGTGAAGGACAAGCACGGCTAAGGAGACGGGCGCAGACATGGGCCGCGCACAGCGGCGTCAGAGCCGCCGTCCCCGGGGGCCCGGAATGGACAGGGCCCCAGGTGGGTTCAGCCATCCCGTGTCCTGGTCAGCTCTGCCCAGAGACATCGCCACCCTCCAGCCGCGGGCGGCAGCTCTCGGGAGTCCTGCCCCGCCATGCGCCTTTATGGGAAAGGTTCGCCGGCCGGGCCGGGGTCGTGGATGAAGGACGGGTGGTGAGCGGGGGAGATGAGGAGGGTCCGAGAGTCCCCGGAGCTTCTCACCGAGCGCAGACAGGTGCGGGTACCGGGGGAGGTGGGCAGACCGGGACGGGAGCCGCTGGTCGGCAGGGGTGGGTGGAGTGGCCCAGACGGGAGGAAACGTCACTCTTGGGCCTCCCCCTTCCACGGAACGGCTCTCGCCCGATCTGCGGAGTTTCTCCCAGGTCACCGGCCTGTCCCGGCTGCGCCCCACTTGGCCTCCCCTAGGCGTTTGCTGGGGTTTCCATACCTCCCTTCTGAGACGCCGCCGCCATGCAGCCCACACTCCCCACCTTCCTCCCGCGCCAGTGGGAGCAATGGCTGTTGGATGGCCTCTGTGTCTGCGGCCAACCGGAAGCTGGGCCGACCCAGGTGCTCAATGACTGCTCGTCGAGGAAATGAAAAACCTGCCCCTTTGGCCTGCACCTGGATGTCCAGCCGGCCTCCCAGCCTGCGGGCCATGCTCGCGATTCTTGGGTTTCCTGCGCACACTTCCCCCGACTCCCCTCCGCCCCAGCCAGCAGCCCACAGCCTCTCGGTGACTCAGGGAAACCAGGAGCCACCCTTGGTCCTCCCTGTGCCCACCCCCTCCTCCCTCTCACCGTCCTGCTCCAGCCCCGTCCCTCCCCAACCACCAGGCCCAACCCCAGCCCCACAGTGGCCTCCCTGCACCCCCCACGGCCCAGAGGGCCTCTGCGGAGCAGGACTCAGTCCAGCCACGCTGCTTAATATCCACACGTGGCTTCTCGCTGAGAATTAAAGCCGGCTCCCGACCGGGCGTGGCGGCTCTGCCACCCCGACCAGAGCCTGAAGGGTCGCCCTTGGGGGCTACTTGGCCCCGAGGAGGACAGGACTCCGTGGCCTGGGGCAGCAAACTCGGGGTGTGTGTTCTCTCTGTGCGTGTCTCACACTTCGGTGCAAAACGTTGCTCGCACAAGGACCACTGAATCCATCATTCGGGTGCCTAATAAATACCAGAAAGCACTTAGCATCTCCCCAGCACGCTTGTTTCTTAACCGCGCTGCCCAGGTTACCCTGATGGCCTTTGCCAGAGAACCACAGATTTGAAGCGAGGAAACCAGGAGTCTAAGAAATGCGGCGAGTCACCAAATCCACGATTCTGACATCTCCCGCCTCTCAAAATAGTGGCTCTTTCTCTGCTCTGGGCCTCCAAGGGGCAAGGGAGCAGCAACAGTGTCACTAGGGGTGGCTGCCACGCACCTCCTGGTCCCCGTCCTCGGGAGGCCTCCAATCCACAGGTGAGACAGACACTGAGCAGCGGCGCTGACGGCCGGGACTCGGGGTGCGGCAGGGCGGGACGGGGGGGACAGGGCCTCTGTCAGGGGCCCCTGGTGGGCCTAGGGGTGGGCAGGTTCCCCCAGGCCCTGACCTTAGGGTGCAGCCAGAGAGATGAGCTGGGGTCAGGCAGGCAGAGA